GAGGGAATGACACGGTATGGCTTTATATATATATATATTTATATATATTTATATATATATATTTATATATGTATACTGGAGCCCCTCAGCTTGGTAGCGCAAGGTGGGAATGCTATTTTTGCATGAGTGTTGCATGTTGTGTGGTGCTGCATTATGGGAAATTCATCGGCTCGTATACCAGGGTTTGTGAGGACGCAGGAAGAGGTTTGATGGCATAAAAAGATTAAACTGTGAGAGAGGGAGATTATGTTTGTCAGTCATAATTTTTTCTGGATGGATTTCTCTGCCACTCGGATGTTTACAGAGGGATACTGCCTTGTTAGATGGAGAGAATGAGGACACAAACGTGAAAAGACAAGAGCTGGTTTGGTTTAAATGTTGAAGAGACGGGTTGGCGTGGTGTGAGAAGTGAAGTATCAGCTCGGGATACCCGGAATGTGAGTTACAATTTTGTTTTTCGAGGCGATGACAGTCAGGAATAGCAATACGATGCTCGTGTCAAAATGTGTTAATGGGTCATTCAGAAATAATTGAGACGTGTTAGTAGGAGGCTCGTGTTTGTTAATCTGAGCATCTACGAGCATTCAAGTCTGGGTGAGAAGAGTTTTCCCATAAAACTAACTCATGTACGTTTGTTCGTGTGTGTGTGTGTGTTTGAGTGTGTAACTTCAGTTCATCCGAATGTCAGTGCAAAATCTCACTTCCCTGTATCAATGCAAAGAGGGTAGTACCAGTTGATCCTGCCCACAGTTCTTTCCCTCCCTTCCCCTCCCATTATCCCTCCAACTGAGTGAAGAACTGAAGCGTCGTGAAAACAAATGGAGGTTTTTTTCTCTTCACTCCTCCCCTCTCCTCTAATCCACGTCCTCCATCTTTTCCTCCTCCTCCACTGCGTCCTCTATCTAGATGAAGTACTCCTTCTTGTCTTCTGCTCCGGAGTGACCTCCCTCTGCGTTGATGATGGCTGTGTCGGCGTCGGGGGCGTCGTCCGAGCCCTTGGCCTCGTGGGTCAGATACGTTCCTGTGAAAGGAGGGAGAGAAAAAGAGAAACTAACTGTAAGAGGGAGATAAAGGAAAAAAGGGGGAGGGGGAATAAGATTGCCAAGGCAGTAAAAGTCAAACACTGGAACTGTAAAATGGCTAAAGGCCAGGAGGACAGACTCTGTTATAAACAGTGGAGTGGCAAGATGTTCCAAAATGATGTCTAAATTATCACTCCAGGTGTTTTTGCTGCTTTTTTGCTGAATTACTATGAAGTAAAGTTTTCTTTAGGTTGTAGGGGACGCTAGGAGTCCTGACAACAGCTGATAAAAATGTGTTTTTCTTTGGAGAATTTTTATGTGGAGTTTTTCTGTTATGATGGGTCAGAACGGAGGCAAAAGGTCAGTTTGAGTCAAATGTTTTTTTTTTACCCAAAATCCCCTGGTGAGCAAGTCTAGACGTCTAGGTTAAAAATTGGGATGAACTCATTTATGAAGTGAAAGTTCTTGGACATCTATTACATATAACCATTGTTTTAACAGCATTTGAATGACTATATATTAATGTTTAGTTAGAACCAACTTCCCAGTGAAATATACACTGCATAGTATAGTATAATAATAATAACAGTTCAAACAGAGGTTATATGTAACCTGGACGTCTAAAAGGCTTTTTCTTTTCTCCAAGATGTCGAGATGGCTTTTGACCTCCAAACCAACAGGGATCAATAAAGCCATCATCCAAGTAAAATCCTGACCCCTGTTTTTCATTCTCTAGCTAAGATCCAAAGAGCAACTTCATGACTCAACTTTACTTTATATATAATGATTATCTCTTACTTTTAAAGGGAGTGTGAAAGTGTACTTTTCAACTTTGGCAAGTTTGACCAAATAATGAACTCAAGGTCCACAAAGCTTTTTCTGTAGCTTTAAGCCCCATGTCATGGTCTTTATCATCAGAGCTGTCATGGAGTTGACTCAGTTTTCATCACATGATGTATGGAAATTCTATCATGTGATAACAGGTGGTCTTATACAACATGGGAACATGCTACAACAGCAAGGACCGAGGACGAGAGACTGAATGAACGACAGGAAAACGGTCACAGAATCGACTGTGAAGGGGTAGAAGTCATTGACCAAAAATTAGTGGACAGCTGGAGAAAGATCAAGGAGGACATCCACGTCTGACACCAGAGACCATCTTTGAACACACCACGACCACCTGTTAGGACCTGTGAGATGTAATTGAAAGCGCTGGAAAAAGCTGGCAAGTGGAACTTGATTTAAGACCGTAGCACACATTGTCATCGGTTGCTTTTGTGCATCATTAGTGAGAACTATCTGCATTTACTCTCACATAATGGCAATTAAATGACAGGAAATCACATCATGTGCCTACTTATCTGCTGGCCCGCAGACTCAAACACATGCAGTCAACCGACAGCGAGTAGCTTCACACTATCACCTCCAGATACAACTCTTCCCTGCACAGGTGCCTAAACCATCCAGAGGGAGTCACTAATGCAGTGACACGGACATCTCTCACAGACCTGGCATCTGTGAACATAGGCCACCAAGAATATTCTGTCCAATATTGTAGACCAGCTGGAGGTTGAATCTGGCACACTCTGGTGGTGGGGGGCAAGTTCTTATCAACTGTGCCTGGGTGTGGAAACATGTCTTTATTACCCTTTAAATTTCACCTGTCCCCTGCTGGAGCTGAAATATTTGAATTTGCTTTGTTCTTGTTTGTTTATGGGCTAAAAAGGCGTTTTTTAGACCCGAATAAGAGTGACAAAACAAAGAATAAGTAACAGTATTTTGTTGTCTCCCACTCTCAGAGCACATGAGCAACAGAATAACAAACTAACATCATGGCCAGGAAGCAATTATGTTTCTACCACACTCACTTTAAATCCCATATTTGACCATATAATTGGAAATATGCTGCTGAAACATCGCTGACGTCAGGAAATCTAATCTCACAGGAAGTTGTGTGAACCAAAATGTATTAAAGGGCAATGAATAAACATTCACTTATTGACATTCATTAATTTTCTTATTCGGCTTTGAGAGTAAAATAAGTCAGGTTTATGCTTAGAATCCATATTTAGGTATGAGTGCATTTCTGCGTGTCCCTGCATTTGGATGCATATGCATGTCTGTACGTGTAAGATCCTGTCTTGGTACCCATGTATCCATATTTATGCAAGTGTATCTCGGTGTACACTCATGCATGCATGCATGAGTGTGTCCGTGCGTGTTTGCGTGTCTGTGTGGGTGTGTGAGGAGTTGACCTTTGTGTCTGATGAGGTATCTGCCGAGGACGATGAGGAGGCAGAGCAGGATAAAGACGATAACAGCCACCACCCCTCCGATCACGGCGTGGTCCACCCCCGAAGAGGTCGACATGGCTGTGGGGTCTTAAGAACAAGGGGGTAGGACGGAGAGGAGAGGAGAGGAGAGAAAGGAGCAAGGAGAAAAGGAAGTCGTGAAGTAAAGTAAGAAAATGGGAGCCATAGTGAGAGAGAGGGTAGGAGAGAATTGATGAGAAAGAAAGAGACAAAGATCAACAGAAAATGAGGGAGAGACAGTGAGAAATAAGGGGAGACGGGGAAAGAGAGACAGAGATTGAGAGCCGAGAGGAAGGAGAGGGTGGCAGATGATGAAAGGCAGCAGAAAGAGAGAGAGAAAATAATGGGGAGAGTGACAGAGAGAAGGCAGAAAGAAAAGAACAGGGGAGCAGAGAGGACTTGTCAATATATAATACCCAGGCACTGTAGCAAACCTTCAGAAGACAAAGACAAGGATATGACAAAAAAGTCAGGCGAAAGAAAAGGGGCCTCCATTAAAAATTGTTCGTGACTAACATGCAACAGGATTGTGCAGTTTACAGACCCAAGTCCCAATCACTTGTAAGAACTTTGTGGGAGCCAACACTGCTGATGTCAGGTGAAATCCTTGCCCCTTCAGCTGTGGTGATTTCCATCTTTTCACTCTAACTGAAGGGTTTTATGCTCTGCTATGGATTGAAATACTTTGAAAACTCTGTCTTGAAGAATCCGAGGCTGGATTTCAAACAGGGGAATGAGGGTTTTTGTGATAATTTGATTAAATACAAATGTAAAGTCATCTGCTAGTTTAATCCAACATGACTGGATCTCTAATTATAAAGAATGTGTACTCAGGTACATCTTCTGAAAGAAAATTTCAAACACTTTAATATACTTTAAATTTAGTCTCAAAATGAATAAAGTCTAGAGTTTTTTTTTATTTCTATTAACATCTTAGTATACTTTGATAAAAGACAATAAGAACAGTCTGTGTATTGAATCTACTTAAGTTTTACTTAATATATTAAAGGCTGTACTTAAGATATACAAATATATACATTGTAGATGTCAGGTAATTTTGACGTCTACTTAATGCATTAGAAGTATGAAAATAGATTTAAATCAGAATAGTGTATAAGTGTGAAATATATAAAAGTACAGAACAATTATTTACATTGAAGACTGTATTGTCAATATACTTTTAAACTGATATACTTGTATAACGTGTATGCTAAAAGTGTGCACACATTATGGAAAAATATAAAGTTTTTTCACTTACAATTGACAGGGGTCGAGCAGAAAACAAGACCCCTTTGCCTCATCTCTTAAAAGCTGGTAGTTTTTTCAAGTTTTTCACCCAACAGCAAAGATTTGAAATGTTTTCCTCCCAGTTCGCCTCGCTTCAGCCACTTTAGCTACTTGCCCCTCAGAGAAAAAAGCTATTTAAGTGGAAATAATCTGATACATCATTTATTTCGCCTGACTTTTCAGACCGGATCAAACGCTGGGTGTCAATTTTAAAGTCACTCATACAGGCACAAGTCAAGGGCAGCACTTATCATACCCAAAAGCGTAAAAAAGACTAAAAAACAGATAATGGGGGAATGAAAAGGGAAGGGAGTTGGAAAGAGAGACTGGCTTGCACTAGTTGAATATTTGAAGGGTAAAAACCAATATGGAGGGCAGGGATTCAACCAGTCAGAGGAAGAAACAGCTAGCTTTTACACCCAATCAGAGAACAGGAACGAGAGATAGAGGCACAGAAACGAGAGATAGAGGCACAGCAACAGCCACCGACAACCAGAAATGTAGACAAAACTAAAACTGAAGGAGGAAGGAAGGAACACAACCAGCTGGGGCACCAGATGATGGGTTGGACGTCTAATGTTTGGAGGAAAAAGTCACATTTTCAGCCAGTTAGAGAAGTGAAGGGGCATGACAATAGCCAACCAGAGGCCAGGCGTAGACAGAGAACAACGTGAAGAGGGGGAGAAGGGTGGTGGGGAGGGTAGACTCTGAACACCAGTCAGAATAACACACACATACACACAGAAAGTCGAACACACACTCCGGCTGGCCGGCGTGGAGGTGAGAGGGGCATGCTGACGAGGCGAGACTGAGAATGAGCCCATAAATCCTGCTGTCAGCATCAAAGGAAAGCAGACAAGACCCAAGAACACCTCGAAGCCTGACCACCCCCCCCCCCAGCACTCACACACACTTTAACATACACCTACACACACATAGAGAAACACACACAGAGGAAGTGGAACACTGTGTAAATGACTTGTACCACTTAAGAGGTCATGCTAGTGTGTGTGTCGTCGTGAGATAGAGTGCCTGGTGTGAATGGTGCTGAGGTGATTGTGTGCTCCGTGTGTGTGTGTGTGTGTGTGTGTGTGCATGTGTGTGTGTGTGTATGTGTGTGTGTAAGAAAGAGAGAGCTTGTGTTTTGAGCCTGTCTTGCCATCGTATGAGCAACAAGAAAGCATATAGCGTGGGCCAGGAGGTATGAAATAATTTATCCTCTGCTTTCAAAGTTCAAAAGTGTCCGCCAGACTATTTTCTTTTTCCTGAGGACAGACAGGACCAAAACGACAGATCTACAGACAGTAAAGCTACCAGATGGACAGACCAGACAAGCAAGTGGAGAAGTTAGAACGACGCAAGAAAGTCAGAACGACAGGTGACTGGTGAAAAAAGTTATACCGATGCAATTGTCTGCAGCATCTTCTCAGTGGATGACATAATGGATTCGTGGTCAATGTTTAGACTGGTGAGGATGGACTGGAATGGATAGTGGGAGAAGGTTGTGTGGTTTGGGTGTTTGGGGTCAAGGTAGGGATTAATTTATGCAAAGCAGAGGGAAACAAGAAAAAAAACATCAAACACTGTGACAAGGCCACAACCGAATGCCCATGTTTTTCTTCCCATTGGTGTTGCTTCAAGTGCCTCATTGCGTCAGCTCTGAGTATGTGTTTGTGTGTGTCTGTGCTGTCGCATGTAAAACAAACCGCCAGCCGTCTTTGAATGCTCACAAAATGCAAGCAGCGTTTTGGTCGTATTGAAGAAAAAAACAGGCCAAGTAGTAACTTGAATGGTGTTTGTTTTCCCTCCATTAAAGCCTCCTCCGCATGCTCGTTTGTTTGCAGTTGTGTTGCAAGTGTTAACTCAGATGGTTTTACCTGTGAAAGTGTTAAACTCCATTCAGCCCGGACGGAAACTGAGGGAGAAGGGTGGAGGGGTGGGAGGAGTGGGTGGCAGTGGAAAGGAGCGATGCTTCGGAGCCAGGAGGAGGGGTAGTGAGGTAGAGGGAAGAGGAAAGTCAGGAGAGAACTGGCCAGGCTTCGGGGAAGAGCGTTGGAGAGGTGGGTGGTGGAGGAAGACGTCAGCCAGTGGAGGGGTGGGGAAGGGTCAGACGAGAGGAATGGAGACGAAGTCAGACAGGAGAGCAGGAGGAGAGAGTCTGTGAGGTCAGGCCGCGGATCCAGAGAGCGCCATCAGTAGCGGAAGAGATGGAGGGGGAACGAGGAGGGGAATAGTTGAGCATTGGGTAGCTGAAAGAGCCAAGGGAGGGTTTGGTTTCCAGGGAGTCTGGTCCAATGGAACCTTGGAGGAGGAGGAGGCAGAGCGAGCAGGAGGAGGAGGAGGAGGCAGAGCGAGCAGGAGGAGGAGGATGAGGTGTAGGGGGAGTGGGAATGAGCAAGCAAAGCGCAAAAATGGCCATTGATCGAACGAATGGGACACATAAAAGCGAAGGGAAAGAAGCGCAATAATGAGCGCAAGCGTTTGGATGGCAGGCGGTGGTGGTGGTGGTTATGGTGGCGCGGTTGGATGAGAAAAAAAACAAAACAACAAACAAAAACAGGAGGAAAGAAACGAAAGAAAATCAGAAGAGAAAAAAGATGGAAGTACAAGCAGAACGACAGAAATAAAAAAACGTGATGAAGAAACGTAAAAGAAGAAGACATCCCAACTCTTTCTCTAGATATGTCCCTCCCTTCCCCACCACACATCCCCCTTTCTGACTGTTTTTCTTCCCTCTTTTCAGTTTGTTTTGTTACCTTGCACTAGGAGTGTGTACTCTGCCTGGCTACTTCCAATGCCATTGTCAGCGTGGCAGAGGTAGACGCCATTATCTGATTTGTTGAGCACCTCAAAGCGCAAGAAAGCACCGTCGACTTTGGCCAGTGGGGGGAGCTCTCCATCTTTCTTCTCCCAAATGTAGGAGGTGGGCCTGAGACAGGAGAGAGACAGGGAGAGACACAGACAGAATGAAGAGTCCTGAGTTGAACTCCACATACTCTGCACATTTTTCAAAAAAACAGTAGAGTAGCTAAAAGTACAAATGAAAAGAGGGTCGAAGTGATGAGGGGAGAAGGGTCCTGTGATGAGTGCTGCAAGAGAAGGAAAAAAGATGAAATGATCAAGGGTGAAGTAGAGATGGAAAGGGAGAGAGAATGAATGGTTGGAGGAGAGAGGAGGCTGGGGGGGCTGAATAAAGGTGGAAAAAGAAAAGATAAAAGCAGGACAGGAGAGCAAGTGAGAGAAAGAGACTGATGTTACCATAAGAAAACAGAAAAAGGACTGGGGAAGAAGGAAACGAGGGAGAGAAGCGAGAGTTGTTGTAGCGAACAGTAAAAGTGAAAAAAGGAATGTTTGAAAGAAGAGTGTTGTGGCTGGAAGAAGAAAGGAGATTAAAAGAGATGGAGGGGAGAAGAAGACAACAGAACAAAGATCAGCATTTCAAATCAGCATGCGTTAAAAAATCCATTCTGCATAACAGATTGTGTATGAGAGAGATAGGAGAAGTGCCTTGATAAAAGAATCAATTATGTAAATGTGTAAGTCCTTAAGCACTGTACAGTAATTACAATGACGGGGAGCCTGAATCGGGGACAGACCTGAATGGGTTGGACTGATTAATCGCTCTTCGAAATGTGGAAAAACCCTCAGCGACACTGTGACGGTCCCTGTCTAGTGTTGATGTGCTGATGTAGTTGACCAGTTATTGTTTTTCTATGTGTCCTTGAAGGTACCATCAGCAGAGGATAAAAACCCAGTCTGAACTCTGCTCTGGTCTCTCTCCCTCATTCGGCTGCATCCCCGCCAGCAGCAGCAGCAGCAGCAGCAGCACATTCTC